GCATTGGGAGTTCATTCACAGGGCTTCGCCAGTTATGTGCATGGAACGTATCTTTTGTGTAATTTCCTGCAGGTGGTTGTACGAGACGGCAAGCACGCCATATCGTCACTACAGTGCCAAGGTATGTGAGCTGTCCGATGGTGCAGTCAAGCCACAGCACCCTGTGCTTGTACTGCAAGGCCATAGCACAGACTGTACACCATCACATGCACCGCCGTCATCATCGGAATCGGCCGCCGCCACTACCGACCCACCACCTAAGAAGAGAAGAAGTCGCTGGGGCGTGTCAGGCCAGGACAGCTCACACAGCACTGCGTCGCCGATGTCATCAGTGCCAGCGCCGTCAGCATCTTCTAGCGAGACCTCAATGGCGGCGTTGGCTGCGTTCGCTCCGCCGCACCACTCGCTTGGCACGTCAGACCACGTACATTCATCGGCAGCTGCTGCAACGTCGTTCAGCTCCAAGGCAGCTCCGCCACCTACTTCTTATAGCTCATCCTCCTCGAGAAGTAAGTCGTTTGCGCGTGTCGAGGTGAAACCGGTGTGTAAACATGACAGTTCTGTCTGCACCGGCTATGGAGTGCTCAACCCCGGTTATCGGTCATGTAGTCTTGTGTCCACAGTGACTTGTGGCCTTGTCCCACAATACAAACCAGGAAAAAGTGATGGATTTGTGCCCGGGGACATTCGTCTTGAACAGTGCAGTTTGGGGTCAGGTTCGAGTTACATGATATAATATTATATGTCTTTCCTTTTTTTTATTTTATGAAATGAGTTGTGAATTTGCAGTGCCCAGGGAAATAGCATGTGTGCTCACCACTTCCCTTTTTTAAAAATTTACACTAGTAAAATAAACACCGAAATCCATTATTTGAATATTCAAGTTATTTTAACGTTCATCCCTGGATCAAGCGGAATCCTGCCGCATCTGGGCCAGTTTCCGCTGCAGCAAAGGCGCCCGGTTAGGGCAAGTTTTACTGCACTCGTATGCGGCTTCTATCAGTTGATTTACAGTATTTCTTCTACTGCTTTGTCTTGTGTCAATGACAAGGTTCTGGCCATCGTGGCGGTGGTCGAGGAGACCGTCCCAATACCAAGCAAGCCGTGGCCATTATTGCAGCTCGTGTCGCTGCCAGCCAGGCTGCTCTGGCCGAGCGAGTCAAGCAAGAAAAGCAGGCAGAAGAGGAGGCCTACAACTCACTCTACCCACAGGTTAGTTGTACTGAAGTGCGACAATACTGTGACTGCCTACTGGCAATACTGTGGCTGCCTACTGCAAGGGATTACTTTCTAGGCCAATGTGTGTGTGTGTGTGTGTGTGTGTGTGTGTGTGGTGTGTGTGTGTGTACGTGTGTTTGTGTGTGTGTGTGTGTGTGTGTGAGAGAGAGAGAGAGAGAGAGAGTGTGTGTGTGTGTGTGTGTGTGTGTTGCTGTCAGTATAGGTAACTGAACTCCATACACTCATACCTCGCTTATCCGGGCGGTCCGGGGACCGGGGTCCGGGTAACTTCGAAATGTCCGAAACTTTGAATCACATACATTTTGATGGGGAAAGGCCATAAATATGGCATATGACGTCACTATTTCCACGAAAAGTGACAAAAGAGTAGTAATATTTCCACTAAAACTTGCCCAAAGGGTGCCCGGTTGACCGAAGTGCCCGTAAACTCGGGGTCCGGATAGCCGAGGTATGAGTGTATGTAGGCCACCTACACATAGAGTACTCGGTACTCATAGTGTCTGGCATGAGGCCTATTTTTGAATTGAAGTCTGGTGTTGAAGATAGGCTGCTTCTGGCACATAGGCCTGAGGGTTTTTTTTTCTCGATATACACAGAACGGCTTGGTTTGAAACTTTGAAACGGAACCAAACTAGGGTAGTTGCGTGGCCCTCGCATCGTGTTGTGTGAAACTCAGCCCTGGTTTTAGACTTTAGAGGTTTGATTTTTGTGGCATGCAGTGCTGTGTTGCTGACTACTGTCATCTTTCTGCTGTTTGCTGCTCAGGGTCCTGAAGCCACTGATCAAACAGCTCTTCAGCAACAGCTAGAGGAGCAGAGATATGTAAGTCTGCATCTGAAGGTCAACGCTATGCTCCTATCGAAATCCTATCCAACGAAGAGCTAAACCAGCAATGGTGCTGGTGCTTCTGTGAAGGACTCTGCTTGTTTGCCGTTCAGTTTTTCGCAGTGTGCCTAGTAGCCGTGCCCTTGTATATCTGCGGTATAATACCGGAGATAGGTGAATACTGTGTTCACCTGTCTCCTGTCCTCTCCCTGCCTTGCTCTCCAATATCAGTACGGTGTCTTCTCCATTCCTCTGCTGACCAAAGCTCTGTTTGTGCTTGTTTCTCTGGAATCCGAACCCATCGCTTTGGCCTGGATATTTGTGTGTGTGTGTGTGTGCTTGTGTGTGTGCGCGCGTGTGTGTACGTGTACTCGTACACATGTGTGTGTGTGTGTGTCTTTCTTCTAACCTGGAACAGCTCAACAGTCTTGTGGAACGATACAAGGAGGCAACAGCCAGCGCTGCTGCAGCGGCTGCAACGTCGTCATCAAGTGACAGCAGAAAGGGCAAGAAACGCCGCAACAAGCACGAGTATGACAGTGACGAGGACACGGAGGGGGGAACATGGGAGCATAAGAAGCGTCGTGAGGAAATGGAGAAAACTGCCGGTGAGCGTGCTGTGGGCGAACTGCTGCATATCCGCATGTGCATGTAGTCGTGTGATTGCTGTGTTTTGGTAACCTCACTTGTGCAGCTGTGAGTGGTTAATGTTACTGACTGGCTTTAGTTTAGCCATTGCGGGCACGGTGAAGTGTTACCCGTGTATGTGATGGTGCCTTCTAGATTGCTGGTTGATAGGCCAATATTGAAACACACATTGTGTTTGATGAAGCTCTTTTTTCTGCTGATGGCTGAAGGTAAGGAAGAGTTGTTTCAGTTGCAGGAGAGCTCATGCTGTTGTGTGTGTGCCCCGTGTGTGGTGTGTCTGTGTGTGTGTGCGGGTATTCCATCTTCCCATTGCAGACAAGGCATGGACATTGACACTGCAAGGCCGTGGCAAACATCACATAGCCGACTTTATGCCAAAAGAAGAGATGGAAAAGTTCTTTGCAAAGGTGAAGGCCATCAAGGAAGGTGCTCCATTCGGTAAGTTTACTTCCAGGAACCTTTGTTTTCGTCATATGTTTGAGAGAGTGAATCACTTTCTCTTTTTTTGTCAGACAACTGCATAATTATCTTTTTTTGCACAAACATTCTTGTCCATTTTCTCCCTTGGCCTTTCTTTAGTTACTGTGTTGCTGCTGCTGCTGCTGCTGCTGCTTCATGATCAACTTAAGTCCTGTGCATGCCCCAGTAGGTTGGCTGATGATTGCTAAGTGTGATACTTGGAGTTGCAACACGTCGTTCAACATTATCGTTGAGACTTCTGACCTTGGCCACCTGCCGAATCACTACACAAAGGTGTTTCAGAACTGGACGAGGAAGGAGATTTGTTTGCCTTACCGGCCTGTCTGTTGTCTGTATGTGTGCCTGTGTGCCTGCCTGTTGTCTGTATGTGTGCCTGTGTGCCTGCCTGCCTTACCGGCCTGTCTGTTGTCTGTATGTGTGCCTGTGTGCCTGCCTGCCGGTGTGCCTGTCTGTATCTGCGTCTCTTTGAATAGACTTCAGTGACTACTCCGAGCACCGAATCACGGCTGAGAACCTTGGATATCAGCTGCTGCAGTCGGCCGGCTGGGAGGAAGGTCAAGGCCTGGGCTCAGTGGGACAGGGCATTAAGAACCCAATTAACACGTAAGAGTACACAGTGTGCAGGTCTCCCAGGCAGCCTGTCCCCATTCTTATTTGCCATTGTGCTTTCATTGCCATTGTGCTTTCATTGTTGTTGTTGTGCAGAGGAAAAACCAGCTTTGACCAATCTGGTGTTGGAGCAGAGCAACCCAGTGAAGTGACAGTCAACGATGATGAGTATGATCTGTACAGAAAAAGAATGATGATGGCGTACAAATTCCGACCCAACCCGTTGGTAAGTGGCTGTGTGTGTGTGTGTGTGTGTGTGTGCGTGTGTGTGTGTGTGTGTGTGTGTGTGTGTGTGTGTGTGTGTGTGTGCTTGCAACGTCATGCCGGATTCTGTTGACTTTGCGATTTCTCTCTCTTCTCTCGTCTTGTCGTTGTCTCCCGCTTCTGGGAGCGGCGTGGCCCGATAGGTTAGCTGTACATAGCTAGTGTGTGTGTGTGTGCCTGCGTTTGTTTGTAAATTTGAGGTTGCATGCCAGTGGATACTGGATAGAGGAGTTTTGTTGTTTGTGTCCTGTTGTAAAGAGGAAGTGCAGTTGAGCTTCCGCGTGTATATTTCACGTGTGAACTAGCAGACATGCAAATCCTGATGATCTCTGCTATTGTTAGTGGAAGCAAATATCTAGTGAACTGCAGCCTAAATGATGGTCAGGGTTAAGCCGTGCCAAGAGTATGGACATAAACCAATGCTTGCCCGTGTTAATATGCTGATGATGTTGTGTGTGTACTGTGCTCCTCTTACTCTTTCTATTTTTCAGAACAATCCACGGCGGCCCTACTACTGAGTTCCGCTTTTTCTCCAGTCACCATCTTGTCCAATGCATATCCAGCCAGTCTCCAGTCACCATCTTGTCCAATGCATATCCAGCCAGTCTCTGTGCATGTGTGAGTGTTGTGTGTGTGTGCGCGCGCGCGTGTTTGATGTTTTTCGGTAATTATTTCGCCTCGGGGGTAACTATTTCAGCTGTACCAATAGTGCCCCCTTTCTTTAGCCTGATAGTATATTGGCTGTTTGGCCTGCACTGCAGTTGTTCTTGTTCTGTGTTTAGCTCATTATGGGTCTTGTTGCTCGTTCTACATTTCTGTAGTTCACATTCAGAACAACATGTAATTGTAGAGGAGTTTTGTTCCTAGCTCTTCACATGCTTCATTTCTTTGCTCTGAATCGATATGAATAATGAAAAACAGATTTTAACCGTCCAGACGATGTCTACAGCTTATTATGCTCTCCAGCCTCGGGTCTGTGGAGCAGTATTTGTGGGCCGGGTCTGCGTACTGCTTCCGACATTAGCAAAATGCCGTCCGCATCACTACGGAGTCCAGCATGGCAGGATGTGTTTCCTTGTCACCCATCCAGAGGCCAGGTTTGGTGCTTGTGGGTTGGCTGATGTGGAGTGCGGAGTGATCTGCTGTACAGTGTAGTGTGAGAACTGCGAAGTACACGGTAGTGTCAACGCACGTACAGTTTGTACTTGTAACTACCGGTAAGTACCCATGTCATGGGTATCCCCATAAAAGTAAAGAGATTTACGTATGAAAGTTGCGCTCACTCCCCAGCGCGTACGACAATGAGTTGGCATATACTCTACAAGGAGGCTGAAAAAGTTGCAGAATGTGCAGCGGATTTCTGATTTTACTGTAGAAAATGCAGCAGAATCCCTCTCTTTTCCCCGGGATTCAGATTTCTTGCGCTTGTTTTTCAAAAGGGACAGAATACAGTAGAGTCGCGCGCGCGCGCGCCCAAGAATGTTGTTTCTAAAGGGCTAGCCTGGGACGTTCTTATTTTTCAGCAATCTGGCTGCGTTCTTAGAAACAATCCGTACTGAATCATCTGTATCCCACAAGATGCAAGAAAAAAAACACCGACGTTCTTAGAATTTCAGGCTATACGTTCTTGGGAGCGCGCGACTATCCTGTGCTTCAAAATCTAACTCATTGTTGTTTACCAGTTACCACTCAACAAACACCTAAGCAGTCCTCCTGGTTGAAGTGGACACACATTTACACGTACTAGTATGTGCTCACTTTCCTCTCACAACAATTAGACATACATGTAGCCCGAAACATAACAATTCGAGGTGCACTTGTGCTGTTCTGAACCAGTCAAAGATCGCCCTTATTACCTTCAATGCATGCAGCTTGCTGATACCGAGAATCCACAATAATTCACACACACGGAGTATTTTTGGTGGTTGCCCACAGTTGCTTTTCAGGGAAACGATGATTTCAGCAAAACCACTCAGATCTAGTGCAGGAAATACGACAGCAGACCACAACTGTACCCTCAAGGTGGTGAAAGTTGGAATAAAAAAAATATCTAGTTAAAATCCTGAAAATCAGCTAAAAAGAATCATAAACACTAGAGTGTAGAGTTTAGAAGCACTTGCGGTGGACAATGCTGGGGCCGGACTCATCATACTCCTGCTTGGAGATCCACATCTGCTGGAAGGTGGACAGGGAAGAGAGGATGGAGCCTCCAATCCATACGGAGTACTTGCGCTCTGGCGGGGCAATGATCTTGATCTTCATGGTCGGCGGGGCAAGGTTGGTGATCTCCTTCTGCATACGGTCGGCAATACCTGGGTACATGGTGGTACCACCGGACAGGACAACGTTGGCGTACAGGTCCTTACGGATGTCGACGTCGCACTTCATGATGGAGTTGTAGGTGGTCTCATGGACTCCAGACTGCTCCATACCGAGGAAGGATGGCTGGAAGAGAGCCTGAGGGCAGCGGAATCGCTCGTTGCCGATGGTGATGACCTGACCGTCGGGAAGCTCGTAGCTCTTCTCCAGGGAGGAGCTCTGGGCAGAGGTGGCCATCTCCTGCTCGAAGTCGAGGGCAACATAGCAGAGCTTCTCCTTGATGTCACGGACGATTTCACGCTCAGCAGTGGTGGTGAAAGAGTAACCACGCTCGGTGAGGATCTTCATGAGGTAGTCGGTCAAGTCACGGCCAGCCAAGTCGAGACGGAGGATGGCGTGGGGAAGGGCATATCCCTCATAGATGGGGACGGTGTGGGACACACCATCACCGGAGTCCAAGACGATACCGGTGGTACGGCCGGAGGCGTACAGGGAGAGCACAGCCTGGATGGCAACGTACATGGCGGGGGTGTTGAAGGTCTCGAACATGATCTATACAAAACCAAAAATATGCACAGAAAACGCACACAAGGCTGTCAGACAAGATACGAACACAGGGCAGTAGAATTGGATGAAAAAACTGCACATTCTAATTTGCCACTGGACCAAACAAAGGCCAACATAAACAAGTGCAGTGCAGTTGCCAAAATGTATTTTAAACGGTACAATCATAGAGTACTAGTACAGCAAAAGATACAACAGCTCATCTGACAGTTCTGGTCTAACCCTGAAGAAAGTGAATGACATGAAATCGTAGCTCTTCTGCAACTTTTTACTTGGTCATGTGAACCATTTGGTAAGTTATCATGGGGAGCATAGTATTTGAAACGCTCAATGTTGGCAAAGTTACCACCGCCACACGATGTCATCGCCAGTTCACACGGTAAATGCAGCCAGGAGTTTAATCAAAGCAAAGCACGTCCATGTCATTGAGAAGTAGTAATTCGTATTTACCTGGGTCATCTTCTCACGGTTGGCCTTGGGGTTGAGGGGAGCCTCGGTCAGGAGGACAGGGTGCTCCTCGGGGGCAACACGCAACTCATTGTAGAAAGTGTGATGCCAGATCTGAAGAAACAAAACACAGGAGAGCAAACAAAGGAGTTGGTTCAAGAGCAATTTCAACAACCAGTGAAGAATAGCAAAGCACGGGAAGATACATTTCGATCACCAAAATTACAGTGCGGCCTAATATAGTCATCGTAAGGAGAAACGCAAATGCAATCAGGAAAAGATGAGGCTTGTCAGGGAATTTCAATAAAGAAATGAATAGGATAAGATCGAGATGTTTACCTTCTCCATGTCATCCCAGTTGGTGACGATACCGTGCTCAATGGGGTACTTGAGGGTCAGGATACCTCTCTTGGACTGGGCTTCGTCTCCGACGTAGCTGTCCTTCTGGCCCATACCGACCATCACACCCTGGTGACGGGGACGGCCGACGATGGAGGGGAAGACGGCGCGGGGTGCGTCATCACCGGCGAAACCGGCCTTGCACATACCGGAGCCATTGTCTACGACAAGAGCGGCAACGTCGTCGTCACACATTTTGAAGAGAAGAAAATAAGAACGGGATTTGAGAGTAGAGGAAGTAAAAGTGGAATGATGAAGAATTCGCTCTTCGTCCTAGTTATAAACACCTTCCTTTGAGAGCGCAGGCAGGTATTGGTACGAAGAACTTGGTGGATTCCGAGAAACGCTCTGATGTACTGCACAGCCACGTGGATACGATACGCACTTTTGTACGCATGGCGCTATATATGTAGCCGACTGCGGGCAAGATGAGATCGACACATTGGTGAATCAAGCAAACAAAATGCAAAGCCCGCATTGGACCGATCGTACGATCGGGCCGCGGGTGCGGGAAGTTTGCTTTTGCTGCTGAGAACCCGTATACTGATGTTGGTGCCAGCGACGAAAAAGGATATGTACGAATTCCTCAAAAGGCAGCTCTAGGAATTATTTGCTGTGTGCAACATTTCCACGGTTACAAAATTTGGAATAGATTCTATCCTCGAGGTTTTCTCACTTCTCACCCCCATCCCCCCTTCTTTACCAGTACCGGTACTCGTACCTTTTTCGCTTGCTTCTACTCAGACTTCTTTATTTATCTTATTATTTTCTTCCTTTTAAAAATTGCACCTATTGTACACGTATTATACACGTATATTTATTCTCGGAGACCCCCTTCGGCCTTTGGGGAATCCCTCAAATATAAAACACAATAATAGAAAAGCTGACAGGATCGCTTTTCTAAATACATGTACCGGTATAGTCCATCAGCCAGTGGTGCCAAAGTGAGTCCCCTGTTGCACTTACAAATCGAACACCTGGAACTGACATCAATCGACAGCAAAAGCATCACTGAATCCGACCTGCCTACTTTCCCTGGCGAAACTCTTGCATTCCTTTTGCAGTGCGCCTTGGAAGTTCGACAAATTTCTTCTTCTTCATCAGCCATTACGAGGTTTTCCATCCGTTTTATCATGACATCCAATGCGTCTTCAGTGAAAAACGTGAAGTTTTGTCAACGTTTGGTGTGGTTTTCCGTGGCGATCGACCTAAAATCGCGAAATAAATCGCCGTCGATTTGAGCAGAGGTGAGTTGGCTTGGAGCACGTACAGATTCAAAAATATGTGTACATGCGCACCGGGAAGAAGATGAAGATGCTCACCATTTTCAAATAACTAATTCAAAAAACTACATGACTATTGTACTGCAATTGTTGTAGTTACTCGTTTGCAACTACAATGGTATGAAGAAGATAATCAAGCGAGGTACAGAGGGATTGATGGCTGATCAAAGCCCAAGGGACCAGCCCGAGGGCTCATCAAGCCCGACTGTACCTCGCTTGAATATGCTTCAGACGATCCCCAACAATTTTTTTGATTTTGAATTCAATCGCTTTATTCTTTGGGTGATCTCGAGTGTGGTAGATAGTACTTCGAAGTAGTACAACTGTAACTGTACTACTACCTGGTTGCAACATGTTCAAAGCAGCCTTGCCTTTATTTCAACTGTTTGCTGTCAGCATCCAGAGCCATGGCGTTTGCTAGTTGGTCGTAATGGAGAAGAGAACTGCAGGGCATTCACTCTATGTACAACATCCATCGCCGCAGATTCCTTACTTTTAGCTCTCCACGTTCCTTATTTTTCCAGGGATCAGGACCTTCCCGGGGTGATTCCATTCAGGGTGGAAGCGTAGATCACTTTTGCCAAACAGTAAAAACTACGCTTCAAACCTGCTTGACATAACTCGGGGTGCATACTTCGGAAACCCGAAGGTGGATGATGTTCAATACTAGCTCATTGTAATCTTCCTGAAGGTATGTATTCGGATACTCAATTAAATAGAACAGTGAAAGAGATGTGTAATGGAACAACACTCTACAAGTAGGCGAACAACAATTTTATTGTAATTTGAATCCAGATGTCATAGCCCGGGAGTGAGGGCTTGTAACTATTACTAACTTCTGATAGCTACTGTGCGTAGAACGTGGACACACTATGTCTTCTGTAGTTGGAACAGTTATTGTACAATATACTATACGGTGTGTG